CAGTCGCATTTATCGATAGTGACATTTTTCAGTCCAGACTTCCTGGTGCCCGGTAATAGTAGTATCTCATAGCTTTTATCAGTAGGGCCCGGCAGAAGCGTCAATCAAGCTTGCCATAGGGTAAAGGGAGTTTACAAGGCCTAAGACATCATGCATTACATAAAAGTTACATAAATCACAAAACTGATGATTACACTGATACAAAAGTTATACAAATCACAAGGCTTACAATTACACTGATACTATATTATTTAAATTTATAACCACTCAGAAAAAGGGAGTAAATGGGGATTTGCATCTTTCAGTTGATTGAGTGTAGACTACAGAGAAGTCAAGGATCCTCTGAAGCTACTTACTGGGAATGCATAGGAGATAAGGAGACTCTCAGTAATGTGCTCAGGAATGTGCAGGAGAGCTTGAACCCTTGCTATGCCCTTCTCTAGGGGCTATGACAATATAGATGGCCATTAGCAGGTCTCTGTATCAGCAGGGACAGCTGGGCCCAGGCACTGGTGACCAGAACCCCTGCACGGGGGACTCCTGGGCTGTGGGGGCAGGCCACCTCCCTGTGCCTCCACTTTTCAGGCTGCAGGGGCCCATGGCCTCCATAACAGCATGGAAACATGATCACACATGCCCTCGGGAGGCTGTGCCAGTGCCAACACAGGGTCAGCTGCCCTGGGGCTCCTGGCAGGCGTCTGTGTCCAAGACCAGGATCATGTAATCAGAGGCTGGGGACCCGAGAAGACAGAGGGCAGGGTGACACCTGGGGATGGAGCCTTACACTCCTGGGCCAAGGTGCTCCCTACCCACTCAGCCTCCCTTGAATTTGGGGTGGATATATCACCAGTCCTGACCTGGTGTGTACAGACATCGCTGGCAGTCTGAGGAAGAGAGCTGGCTTCCCTGTTTCTCGTGACTTCTGCCCTCTTCCTGCTCCTTCCTGCCTGGGATGTGGATGTGGCTGGAGCTCAGGCAGCTGTTTCAACATAAGAATGAGTGTGAGATAGTGGCAACTGGCTGCTGATGGCTCACAGAGTCTGGGATGACCACCTCCAGACTTCTCAAGAGAAGAAGGAAAATCTCGCTGTGTTCTAAACAGAAGCCAACAGTGAGGCAGAGTAGCTAGCACAGGCTAGACATAGATACTTTTCCCGTAGGTAGGTTTTAGGAAGTGTTCAGACATTTTTAAAATTACATTTTACCACAGGCCAAGCTGCAGGCTACCCTATCCCCTCGGCAAATCCAAAGGAAACCCCATCAGATGCAAGACTAGAGCAGCCCAACCTTTTAATTCATGTTTTAGCATGATAATTTCTAAGAATCTTTCAGGTTCCCCATTGAAAGCAGAAGGTCAAAGACTAACCCTTAACTGACCAAAACCACAGAATGGTAATAAGACCACCTTTTAGCTCAGGAACTTGTAAACTGAAAACACCTGCCAGGTCTCCAGCAAAAGACAATGTGGTTAGGAAAAGACATTCCCCCCCACCATCTCCTCCCATCAAGAGCCCAGAGATGTCAATCTCTCTGGAGCCAAGGTTGCCTGGACTCCACACATTAGCATATCAATAACTAGGTAGTTATATCTAGTTTGGAGTTGAGAGCAAAAGTGTGTTTTTTCTTCTTTGAAAAACTTGTCTGTGGCAGGTCTTTCTGCCATGGATCTTTCTTCTTCTCTTTTTCTTGCTAACAAATTTTGTTTGAAAACTTTGCTGGCTGCTCTAAAGTTCATTTTAGGAAAGAGCCAAAGAATCCATGGGTTTTGTGCTGCATCCCACCTAGCATCACCAGGACTTGTAGAAGACCAGTAGATGACCAGGGGCTCCTGCCCAGGCATATAGTGAGCGGAGCCTCATCTGGCATGGGTCTGAGTTCTGCCCAGCCCGGCCCAGTCTCAGGGCTCCAAGTAGGAGGGGGAAGGCCCTAGGAGCTGGGATGCAGGGAGAGCAGCTTGACCCCAGGCTCAGTCCTGGCTGGTGTCTGCCTCAGGGCACAGGGCCACCATCTGCACTTAGTGGAATGTCTCTGCCTCCTACATCTCCCTCCTTCCTCCCAGGAGACCTCAAGCCAGGGCAGGGACCCAGGCGGAGCTTGCCGGGCCTGAGCTTGCCGTGGGTCCTGCCTGCCTGCCAGGGCGAACTTCGTGGGAATGGGTTCCCTCTCCAGGGCGTGTGGCATAGCCAACTGGATGGGGCCAGGCAGCTGTCAAGTGAGGGACAGAGTTCCAGGTTAGGCGAAGCTTCCAACTAGACACCATCGGTGACACCATCGGTAATTAGGATCCTTGTGGCCCCAGGGAGAGCTGTTGTGGGGATAATTACTGGTCTACCAGGAGCCAGAGCCAGGCAGTGGAGGTACAGCTGCTGCCTGGGTAGTGGCGAGGGGGCAGGTGGAGAGAGGAAAGTTGGAGAGGGGGAACGGGGAGGTGAGGTGGGGGGAAGAGACAGGGTAAGGAGGGGCAGGTGCGAGG